GGGGGGGGGGGTGGAAGGGTGAAAGAGCCTTATAATTTAAAGAGCCTTATAGGGGCACCTGGGTGACTCAGTTGGTTAAGGGTCTGACTTCGGCTCAGGTCATGATCTCATGGTTCATGAGTTCGAGCCCCCCATCGGCTCTGTGCTGACAGCTCAGAGCCTGGAGCCTGCTTCAGATTCTGTGTCCCCCTATCTGCCCCACACCTGCTTGTGCTCTGTCTCTCTCTGTCTTTCAAAAATGAATAAACATTTTTAAAAAATTTTTTTAATAAATAAAGAGCCTTATAAATGTATGGATTTGTTGGATCCTAATTCAACAAATCAATAGAAAAAAACAAATTCTGAATCAGGGAAATTTTAACACTGCACAGATGTTTGATGATCTTGAAAAACTTAATTTTTGTATGTGTGATAACCATATTGTGGATAAGACTTTCTTTTTAAAGTCCTTATGTCTTAGAGATTCATTCAGAATATTCACAGACAAAACTGTATGTCTAGGATTTGTATCAAAATAATCCGGTGTATGTCTGAGGTAGGAGATACATACGAAATTATATTGAAGTTGGGTAAGGGGTACATGTGAGTTCATTCATTATTCTTCTCTCTACTATCATGTGTGTTTAAAATTTTCTAGAATAAAATAATTATTCTTTAAAGTAGTGACCTATAGGAAGTAGGATGAAGGGAAAGACATTTACTTTTCACTTCAATCAACTGCATTATAGCATTTATGAAATATTACATCATATCATATACACTACAAAATGTCATAAATAAACATGTAAATATCATAAGTAAACATACCAAACTTGCTGAAAGGAGTTATCACAATGGAATAGAACCAGAGAATATTGAGATAAGGACTTGGGGCTTTATTTCCTGCACTACTCTATATCTGTATTGTTTGAATTTGTTTTTACAATGAGTAATTTATAATCCCTGTATTACTTTTGAAATTATAAGGAGAAAAAAGCATGTTTCTTCAATAAAGAAAAGTATAACCTATTTAAAGTACTAATTATCGGGGCGCCTGGGTGGCTTGGTCGGTTAAGCGTCTGACTTTGGCTCAGGTCATGATCTCACAGTCCGTGAGTTCGAGCCCCACGTCGGGCTCTGTGCTGACAGCTCAGAGCCTGGAGCCTGTTTCAGATTCTGTGTCTCCCTCTCTCTCTGCCCCTCCCCTGTTCATGCTCTGTCTCTCTCTGTCTCAAAAATAAATAAACGTTAAAAAAAATTTTTTAAATAAAAAAAAATAAAGTACTAATTATCTAGCATCTCCCAAAGCTCCTTCCTTTTCATCAGCCTTACTAACCCCACACCTCAGAAAGAAGACTACAATCCTTCTTACCTGGTCTCCCTACTCCCACTCTCTTCCTTGAATCCAACCTGTGTGTTCATTTACCCATTAATTGTTTATGTCCCTCAGATTTCTCAAATACAAATGAAAATGAAGTATTTATAGCTTTCTCCAAGATAACACTGTATATACAAATGTCTATAACCTTGTCTAGTTTGAGATTTTAAAAGATACAACAGAAAAACAAATTGTATTCTATCCAATACAATACATATAATACTAACAGTTTTCAAACTCTTTACCCATCTTTAAACACCTTATGTCTTTATAATATGATATACTATCTAAATGTGGATTCAAGCCATTACATAAAAACACCAGAAATGGATTCCAATACTCACAAAAGCAACCATGAGCTTATCCAAGGCATATTTATAACATACTATGATAAAATATCATTCAGATATTTGGAGTTATTAATTGGGAACCATGACAAAAGAAATCCATGGCCTTAATACATGCCGGCTTCAAATCACTAGATAGAAACATCCTTAATCCCATCCACATTAATTGAGGTACAGGACTACTTCCTCACCCAGAATAAACCTTTCAATGACTTTTGGGGTTTTTTTTTTAATTCCTAAAAATACAAGTTTCAATATTATCCTTAATAATTTCACTCTGGATCATGTTAATCTGTTCATCTACTAGGACAGTCAGTCACTCTAGAAGTGGTGTTGTTAACAGAACCAGACCCTTGTGCTCTCTAGCCAACAGAAACTGACAAGGGGGGAGGCGGGGAGCCTGGGTGGCTCAATCTGACTCTTGGTTTCGGCTCAGGTCAAGATCTCACAGTTCATGGGATGGAGCCTCATATCGGACTCTGTGTTGACAGCATGGAGCCTGCTTGGGATTCTCTCTCTCCTTCTCTCTCTGCCCCTCTCACTCTCTCTTAAAATAAATAAATAAACATTAAAAAAAAGAAGAAGAAAGAAATTGACAAGAGGCCGAACAGGAGTTTCAAGCAAGGCTTTTATCAGGGGCTTCTGCAGGAGCAAAAGGCAGGGAACAGAAGGCAAAGTATCCTTGGGCTAGCTCCCTGAAAAATGTCCAGGGAAAGTTTTTAAAGGGGCTGAGGCAGGAAAGAGGCGACATCTTAGCACATAGGGGCAGGAAAATACAGAAAGTTGGGCCCACAGGTAGTTGACAGACCATACTTCATACATGGTATGTTTCATTTGCATGTTAAGTTAAATTTTTAGCATTACATTGAGGAGAAAAGTCAGTGACAGGTCAGAGCTAGGTCCACTTGGCTCTAACTGGCCTGGTGTTTACAGGAGCACACAGGCTGTAAATTGGGTCCTGGAGCTTGTTACAAGCTTGTGGCTTTTGACTTCCTGATCATATGCAGCCACCTGCAAGCTGGACTAGAGAAATGGGTTATTGCCATTCATGCTCTGAGAGGGTTCTGAGTTTTTCTGCAAGTTCCTGTTCTGTTTCAGTGGCACGAACAGTCAGCAGGAATAAAATTATTTTAGTGAGTAAAATAAATTAGAAGCTCTGTGTGACAAAAAGTAAATCATTGTGTACATTTATTTGCAACTTCCTCTGACTCTAGAATGATTTCAAAATAAAACCTTTTGAAAGTAAATCGTTATAGGCAAGAATACATATGCTAAGAGGCTCAGGCAACTGTTAAACTAGAAGCTAAACAATATGCAACTGAAGTTTTCTCATTACAACTCAGAAGAAACATAACAGAGAAAAAGAAACATCTCAGAACTACAAATGGGCAGGCAGATAATTTAAAGAGCTTTCAATTTCAAACAGGTTAAATGACTTTAAAATGTCATACAGCTAGCTTCAGGCCAGGTCTGAAACTATGATCTTCTACCAAGACTGTTAGCAAAGAATAACAATCCAGTATAGGAAAGTAACATTCTTTCTGTCCTTTTCATTTTAAAATATAATTCTTGATAGGAAAAAAAACAAAAAAAACAGCACCACAATTATCCTTTATTTTTAATAAGACTTTCAAAATTTTAGCAACCAAAAAAAACTTCTGTATGCAGAGCCATTATTCCAATACTGACTTCTTGGTTTTAAAATCCAAGGATCTTTCTGAGTCCCATAAGGAGTTCCAGAACATCATAAGAAATTGCACATATTTTTTCCCAAATTCCTTTCTCTTTTTTTTTTTTTAATTCCAAATAGAGGCAACCTTCTCATGGGAACCAAAACAATATGTTCCCCATGTTACTATAAAGTAAGTATATGCACATTATTTGTATAAAGCTTCAACCTCATCACTGCTGACATTTGGGACCAGAAAATTCACTGCTGTGGGGGGCTGCCTTGTGCAATGTAGGATGTTTAGTAGCATTCATGGCCTCTACCCACCAGATGCCAGAAGAACCAACAGTGTGACAGCTAAAAATATCCCCCACATGCTTTCTGTGGGCAAAACTGCCCCCAGTTGAATATCACTGGTATAAAGATATAGTTCACAATTAAAATACAAACCTATCAGCTAGATGGAGAATACAAATTTGTTATTTTAGAATTTGACAAATAAGCACACTGTCAA